TCATTATATACATGTATCTACAAAACTAAAAAAAATTTCTTTGAAAAAAAAATAACACTATAGGTCAGGTGGATTAAGTCAAACTGAAACATCAGAATCTTTTTTTTTTTGGGGGGGAGGAGACAGAAAAAAGAGCAGAAATGATTTTTGATTTCCCTATATATTTATATGCTTATCTCAGCATTCCACTAGTACTTGATGATCTACAGCATACAATGATTTCTATCAGCGAGTGCCATGGCTGGACTGCTTGCATCAACTCATCATAATTATTCATTGCATGCACTCAAGGAACTCCTTTAAGGATCCACATATATAAATCTTGTGAAGCGAGATCTAGACTTAAAAGAAGACACATTAACAACTTTAACAGCAGAGTTCTTGGCAAGAAGCAAGTTGTATGGAAACCTATACTGTCTTACGGGAACAAAGCATGTACGAACTGTAAACCTATCAGTAATGCACATTGCATTGAAATAAAATTTAGCACTACAGTCACTAACATCATATCTTATTATCAGATCAGGGCCACTATACTGATTATGAACAGGAAAATTGCAGGAAATATTCAACACTTCTCACCTATATACTTTTTTGGTAAAAGTTTAGTTTAGGGTACCCCTTGGCGAAACTTGGTGGTTTTGGGCGGTACATGGATACCGATTTTGTGCAATTCTTTGACTCGTTATTTCGGCTTGCGAAGCGAGCTACACAAAGCCAAAATAACAAAATAAACAATTGCGCAAACTTGGTATCCATGTACACATTGACTTATTTGGTACTTTTCCGTTTTGCCGGCGCAAGCGATAAAGTTGCCAATAATGGTACAACCGATGCCAAACGGAATATTCTCGCTGGTAACCTTTTACGCCTCATTTTCAAAACAAGTCGCAGCTTTTTCTTATCAGATTGATTGTTTTTTTCAATACTGGCATATAATTGCATAGAATTTTTATCAGATAGTTCAGCTTTATGTCTAAGGCCATTTTCGGTAATTAAATCAATTAGAATGCAATCACAGTGCTTACCTGAAGCCGAAAATATAGAAAAGGTAAAGTCAAGGGTTAAATTCAATTCTAATGAGAATGCATTAGTGAAGTAAAGCACTGCAGTTTTACATATTTCTGAGTAAGCTATTCGTACGAATTGAATATTTCTTGCATATTAAACTTGTGTTCCAAATTAAGATTTAACTTGAAATTAATATAGATAATTACTGAGAGCATTAGAATTTTGTAGAGTAGTTTACGTGAGATGAGATCGCTTGGGGTCACGTGATATGAACCGGCGAATCAGGATGGTGAACCATGAAAGCATAGTAAATTCTTAATTAATGTTTTTTTTTTTACAAATTTATTGTCTTTATTTATTGGCTTTTTATAAAATTTTAAGCGATATTAAAATGTTTATGCCTTCAAAAAAAGAATTCTTAAAACTAACATTTTTTTAATATTTTTTATGTGTATACTGTATGTTGTTGCCAATAAAGTCTGCTTGGCGAGATTTGCGCCGGCGAAACGGAAAAGTACCACTTATTTTTACTTTAAAAAAAATCCCCGAATTGCACAAAAATAACATTGCGCACTCCTTTGACTTTATCCATGTACATATCGACCTATTTTCACTTAAAAAAAAAATCCCCGAATTGCACAAAAATGGCATTGCACACTCTTTTAACTTTACCCATGTACAATCGACCTATTTTTACTTAAAAAAAAAAAAAAAAAAAAAAAAAAAAAACCAGAATTGCACAAACTTGCATTGTGCACTCCCTTTACTTTGTCCATGTATACATCGATATATTTTCACTTAAAAAGTCAAAAGAGCACCAAATTCTACAATATAGGCAAACAAAAAATACATAATCTCAATAAAATACACTTTAAACCAAACAATAAAATAACATAAAAAAGGAAAAACATGTTATAAAACATTTAAGCACTATCAAAAGCAAATATTCACCATGATTTTCGAGTTCGCTTCGTACACCCAGAGCCACATAAAAACCAAAATATCAATCATACTCAAATGACTTTTTTCAAACCAGGTACTTTTTCTGATCGAACACTTCACATAGTGACCATCTGAACCTTTCTTCCTACAAACCCATTCAAATCCATCTAAACAGTTTTTTACGTTCGACTAGACGCATATCCTTCCTCCATACAGGACACTTATAATGGCTACTAAGTAAACCTTCATTTACACACCAGTCAATTAAAGCTCTTTTACCTTTCACTCCAAATCGTACAGAAACTTCAAATTAATCTTACTACATTCGGCCATTCTACCGTCTAAAGAATCAAACCAACACACACCACAAAAACGCTTACAAAACATACCACGATTCAAAATTTCCCAGAATCATGCACCCGATTACATCACAATAGGGTTTCCATAACATTCAACTACTCAGGCTACCATAAATAAAACAACTTGGTGATAAATCAAACAACTTTGCCATAATACAAGGGGTACCTTAAAGTCTACTCTACCCTACTTTTTTCATAGATAATCCAGTATTAAAACCAGCTAAATGCTGACGTTAAAAAGTATTAAGTTAAATTTAAAAAGATTTTTATGTTTTATTAACATCTGATCTAAAAGCATCTGAAGTTTCTTTAAAACGTTCCAGTACTTAAATATTTTGTTGTCAGTTATTTTGGAAATAAAAATCTGTCAAACAAAGTATGATTTAATGCTAATAAAGGAAAAATGTTATGTCAAAACCTATTATAGGGTCTTCGCTTTGGTTTTATGCAATACTGATTAATTCTCAATATGGCAGGTGGAGCTATGTGGCCTGCTTTGTTTATGATCTGCAACTGTTTCAAACTCCTGAAAATCTACATGATGCTGATTTGAACATTTGATTTTAATCATCAATATAATTTTGTACATTCCAATACCTCTGAGTCATAATAAAAAAATTGACAGACTATGGCATTCAGGAAAACTGTGCAATACAAAAACACCATAGAACTATGAGATACTACTTAGATCAGTATTTAGGCAAATTTATGTGATGCTGAATTCACAAGAAAATTATAAAGTCCTCTATGAATATATTCCTTTCCTTAACCAAATATTGTACTTTAATTAACTAATCTTTCCAAAACTAATCCTTTTACTATACGTTTTAAATGCAGTATTTTTTATGAACAAATGAAATTTATTAGATATTGAATATTATACATCATATTCAATACCTAAAAAAAATAAGTGATTATTATTAGTAGTCAATTAATACTTTTTCAATTTTAAGGAAAAAAATTATATTTTATCAATAGTGGAGTTATAATACAAAAATTTGTGCACTTCAGCTTCTAAATTATATTCAGATTTATCTAGAAGTAAACATACTTTCATTTCTATATCAATAATTTGATAAATTTAGAATCTAATCTGTATCACTTAATATTCCACTATTATAGTATTTCACCCTATATATAATATTTAAATTTAACCAATCTCTGGTAAGAATTCATACATAATATTTGAATACACTCTTATGAGAATATGACTGGAATTAAATATTTGCTTACCTCATCAAGTAGAATCTTGATTATCTGATACATATGAGATTGAATGCAGTCAGAATATATGAAACTAACAAAAAGTAATTATTTAAATAATGCACTGAATATAAAACATTATCATAAAATTCATTCATATATTATACAAGTGAATTATTAGCTCATTTCTTTTTATTATAAAATAACTCTACCATCAGAGACAATATATGAAATTACACATTGATTAATCGATTAATGTGTAATAATCGCGCTAATCATTTGCTGCACCATATTTAATAATATGTTGGCTTATATTCCCCCACCTACCCATTTCAGAAGTAATGTTTCATATTATCAATTCACTCTCATCTCTTTTTTTAAGTCTCAAATTTCAGTTCAAATAGGAAAGCAACATTTTTACACTCTTTTCCTAACAATGCAGGATAGTACAACAGACTAGACTGTTGAATTAATGCAAATAACTAAGAATAAACATAAAAATTGTATGTGTGTGTGTGATTATGGCAAAGCCTCGAGAGCTATCTGCCTACGATGAGGGATGCCTCTATGGAGGACTTTTTAAGGGAAATTGGCTCGTATATACGTTACACATGGGGAAAACCACGAAAATGCCCATGCAGCTAGCCCGTTCGTGGGATTCGAACTACCCGTAAAAATTGTATGAATAAGTAGTATATATGTGTTTCAAATGGATTACAATACTGGGGTTAAGAGATATCAGGATTGCTATTATCAGAATTGTGAGTTATTGTGAGGCAGTAAAAATTACATGTAACACATAATTCAGTGCTAATGATGATTCTAAATAGTTTTCAGTGTCAAATCAGACTTCTGTGGTTCATTAGTTATGACAAATTATCATATGTCAGATAACCAGGACTCTACTATACATAAAATATATTTAAATTCAAATAATATTCTAAAAAAAATACAGTAGGAAAAAGTTTTTGTTTGTTAATCTCTAAATATTTTACATTTTTTAAAAACAAAAACCCACTGTGCAGATTTACTACAAGCACATAAAAAGAATACGTTATACATTCTTTGAACAAAGGATACGTTACTTCTCTACTTTAGTAAATTTTTATGCAAACAGAGCAACTATACCTTTCATCGCTTTCAATGACATAGGAAAACTACACAAAACGTGTATGACAACTTCGAAATATTTACCTCCGAAATACAGGATTATAATCAATTTTGTACACATACACACAAAAAAAGGGGGGAGGGCCAATAAAGGAAAAAGTTTAAAACATTCAGTAAAGTAAATGCATTTTTTATAAACTGCTATTTATGGCAAAATCATACATAAGCAGAATGTGCTAACGTTTTAACTCAGTCTTTTCATACACAGAAATAATTTCACACGCGAATCAAATATTAAAGTAACTGAAACACATTTTTGTTTCGTTTCTATAAACTATTGCAGATCAAAAATCACAATAAATAATTTAACTTTACCAGTATCATCTTGCACGTACGAATTCGCAGCCGCCATGTCAATATTAAAACAAAAATACAGGAAATGTTGCCAAATTGCATAAAACGTTTCCATATATTTAAATGATGAGTTGTGAAGTTATGCTCCTTTTTTCAGTACATAAATTATTCTTATTAATAACTTATCGAGAATACATCTCTCTCTCGCGTAATTAAACTATTGCGTTACATACAAGTTCGATAAAACAGAGTAATGTGAAATTAAGGACAACCTGAGGTATTCTTTGGAGAACAACCTTGACGCCAAACAAGGAAGAACAGCTTATTATGGTAGCTCAGGGCCCTAGTCTGGACACCGTCGAGATAGAAGAATGGGTCATTTTTTCGATCTACTCGACAGAGAGCGAGTCTGGTGTCATCATCTCGATCATTACAGAGACCGACGCGTCGGAATTTTTTAAGTTTCTAACTGTCGTTTTAGAGTTAAACTGAGGACGGCGGAGGTCACGGATTGTTTTTGAAAGTGTACGTAATAGATATTTTAATTTCTTAAGATTTGTGAAAAACTCGAGTATTTCGCTATAGAAATAACGCATTTGATGCTGACGATTCTACATTACCAATGCCTTAATTAAATTTTAGTGAAAATAATATATTTGGGGTTTTCCTATTTCACATATAAAGAAGGGGTTCATACTTTTAATTTAAAAATTGTAATTTTTAAACTAATGTATATATCAATGTACTTAATTTCATGTTTTGATGAGTAATTTATAAATTCTTTGTTTTAAATTACAATGCATTTCCCTCTACTTTTATTTGAATTTGTAGTGTATAAAAATGTAATACATTAGACATGCATTAAAGAATATGCAGTATATAATTCAAATTATGCACATCCTAAATTTAACATTTACATTAAATTGCTTTGAGTTAAGGGGACTCATACACCTTAAAACCCATAAGATGTTCGAATAGGTGACTGTTGCAAGAATTGGGATAACTTATTTATTTCAAAAGCAATTACTGCCATTTTTTTACAGCTGACTACATAATATAGCTGCTTTCTGAAATAGTAATCAGAAAGTTTGTGTTGCTACAAATATTTTTATAATTTAATCCGCTTTGTGACAACATTTTTCGTCATGTTTTCAACTTGCGCGCACAGTTTAAAACATTCTGTTTCATAATTTAATTCCATATTTAATATATAGCTTTTATAACATCTGGAAACTACTGTGAACCTAAAATTCTAAAAATTTTCATGTTAAATTTTTATTTTATTTGGAGTTGAGTTTATAAAATGTATTTTATTTAAAAAATTTGTAATGTTTTCGTCCATAAAATTTTTCAATATTGAAATATTCATCAGATTGTTGGTTCAGTTAGAAAATAGTGCCCATATAAAGAATTCCATCAAATTTTAAGTATGTACCATTAGCCATTTTTAAAATATCATGCGCGCAAGGTGGAAACATGGCGAAATATTTTGTCACAAAGAGGATAATGGATTTTGTCATAATAAACGTCACTTCCGCACGGAATTTCCACTTCACTTTCCGGCGACGGAATTTGAAGGGGCCAGACTCGCTCTCCCTTCTGCAGTCGAGTGGAAAGAGAATCCCGACTGGTTTCCCGATATCGATCTCAACCGGTGTCCAGACTAGACCCCTCAGACTAGCTAGATAGCAGAACCAAATTAACTGCAATCAGTTACCTAACAAACATCTTAAGGGGCTGTCATTCACATTTTCTTTATTTAGTATTACATAACTAAGCTTCTTTGTCTGTCAGTCGGCGATAATGTGCTTAACCGACACCGACTCGACTTCCGACTGCTAGTACGACCTCACTACCCACGAATACTATCTTTGGGGCCATTTATTTAAATTTTATTTGTTTCATCTTTTCTTCCTGGCATTTTGAACTCGTATGAAATGTACGAAGTTCCTTTTTACTCTCCTTTGAAACATTAAATTGGCCCCCTTTCTATATACCTTTCCTTCGCACGTAAGATTGATTTTTCGCCCATTGGTGCAGAAAGACTTAGCGGGTACAAGATATCCGAGGGCCTAGTCTGGACACCGGTCGAGATCGATATCGGAAAACCAGTCGGGATTCTCTTTCCACTCGACAGCAGAAGGGAGAGCGAGTCTGGCCCCTTCAAATTCCGTCGCCGGAAAATGAAGTGGAAATTCCGTGTGGAAGTGACGTTTATTGCATAGCAACCAGTCTATCTTACCTCTACATTGCTCCAGGCTCAGGGGAAGGGGGTAGTTTGTTGTCAAAGGGGATGTTTCGCACGTGCTTATTACTGAGGATGGCGGTAAAATTAAAAATCGTGTTCGAGTAAATGGTGAAATTTTTCGAAAAAATACGCTGCTGGATTTAGTAAAGAGTATGGAAAAAAGAAATGGGGAACGTTAATGGATATTTTGAACGCAGAAAGAAATGGCCTTTTCAAAACTTCAGGTATGTGAGGAAACGTAAACATAATTTTACGTATGATCTTTCGCAAAATGGAAATTTTCTAAAAGGTTACATGTTTGTAAACTATTTGTTAACAGGAATTTTATGATTAAAATACATTATTTTGTCTGAAAAGGTTATGCAACAACGTCATAAGTCAAATCATTGAAATATAGCACCGCGTACGTGTGTTTAATATTCCTAATGAATTTGAATCAAAAAATTTTATTTTTAGCAACCTTCGATTATATCAATAGTTTTATTTATTCAGGAATTATACCTATCACGTAGCTACAAATATACTATGTATCGTAGATACCAATAAGCAGTGAGTAAAAATATAACAAACATTTAACAAAAGTAATAGGAAGAAAAATAAAAAAAATTAAATAACTATAGGTTAAATTATAAAACATATTATCTTGCACACACACAAATATATATATATATATTTAACATATGCAGTGAAAGGAATTCGCAATACATATTCCTATTTATACCCTTTTTAAGTCGATCCCATCAGTGACCGTGTGGTAAAATCGCTGAACACTGGTAGTTCGGTCCGAGGTCAGAATACTACGAACGGGTTTGCTGCATTACCAACATATCTCTGATAACCAATATAGTATCTGTCATTACCAACATATTTCTCGTAATTTCCAAAAGCATAAAAAATTAAGGCATACAAAACCTGTTTTAAATAAATAACTATATGTATATATAATTTATTTCCTAAACCGTATTGATTAATTGATTATATTATCTCCTGGATTTAAGTTCATACAATATATGTATATATAAATGTATTATAAATATATTAATATATGCAGTGAAAGGAAATTGCAGTGCATATTCCTATTTATGCCCTTTTTAAAACGATCCCATTAGTGGCCGAACGGTAAAATCTCCGAACACTGGTAGTGCTGTCCGAGGTTCGAATCCCCCAAACGGGCTGGACGCATGGGCATCATTACCAATGTATTTGTCATTACCAATATATCATTGGTTATGACAGACATATCATTGGTAACTTCCAGAAGCATAGAAGTTTAAGGCACAGAATATCTGTTTTAAAGTATTATATATAACTGTATAAGTTATATATATATATAAACTGTATATTAGCTCAGTTACTTAACTCCCTAAATAATTGATATTACTACCTTTAGGATTTTTAATTTAATTTAATTTAATTAATATTAATATTTACAAAAAATTTTTTACTATAACAAAGATAGCAGCTTGACACTCAACTTTACCTACATAAGCGCCATCTATATAATTTGAAGAACACACTTACTTCTTTTTCACAACACTTTTGCAGACCCAACACTCGTATAGTAGGTAAGTTAGAATTAAAACTTATTTACTTGCTTTAAGTATTTTTTTAAAATTTTTTATGTAGTATCTAAGTATTTTCTAAATATGAAATTATATTTTTAAATATATATTTATTTAAAAATTGTGAATTAGTTCTTTTTGTTTCTTATTTCTTATTGGTTTATATGGATTATGTATAGTTCTTTTATAGTTTCTTTTTATTGATATGCATATTCGTGTAGGGGAAGGGGAAGTTTCTGTAGACAAGGATTTCTAAAATACATTGGTTTCTAGATTTTTTTTTATTTTATAAAAAATTAATTTTTAAAAAAATTTCATTTTTTAAGAAAAAGTTTAATTCTTGACTTTACTTGCTTGTTTCTCAAAAGACTTAATTAGTATTTTCCTTTCTTAACTTCAATTCTTAAATGTTAATACTTAAATGTAAATTTCTAAGGATACCACTTTATTGGAATTACTTTTGGTTTTGACTTTTACCCTTGCCTGCATGAATGACGAAAGACGAATTGAATGATTGGGGAGTTAGGTTTGGAGGCAACTTCCCCTTGATAAGTCTGTCTCCTGCCTACTCTACGATCATTCACATATGCATTTAAAAGAAAATTGTTTAATTTAATTTTAATTTATTAAATTAGTAGATTTATTTTCATGGATATATTTTGCACTTGATTTGCTTATGCTTCTGAATATAAATGATATTGTAGATTAGTTGCGAGAATTAAATCTTTTACATGTTTGCATATTTTTTTAATTATTTTAAATTATTTGGCTTTTTTCCTTTTTTTTAGAATTTAAATTTGCTTTTTACTTTTTTTACTTTTATACGTATTTGTTAAGAATTTAAATTTGTTTAAATATAACTGTATAAATATATTAACAGATGTAGTGAAAGAAATTGCAGTACATATCTATTTATACCCTTTTTAAATCGATCCCACCAGCGGCCGGTAAAATCGCTGAACACTAGAAGTTCGGTCCAAGGTTGGAATCCCGCAAACGGGCTGGTTGCATGGACGTTTTCGTGGTTTTCCCCATGTGTTACGTGTATACGAGCTAGTTCCCTTAGAATGTTCTCCACGAAGGCAACCCTTACTTTAGGCAGGTAGCTCTGGAGGCTTTGCCGTAATTACATAAAACCAAAACTAAGCACTTTTTAGATCTGAATAAATATACACAAAACTGATGTAATATCTAAAAGTAGACCCCATTAAAAAATCTAATAACTAATTATAAATCTTACATTATAATATTGACAAGAATTTAACCGAAAATTATACA